ACACACACACACACACACACACCAGATTAAAATGCATAAAATTACCTTCTGGATATGTGTATAAATTATACATGAAAAAAATTAATTTGGCGTTTATGTTTTAGTCCAATCCTTAAGACATTTCATTATATATACTGAGATAAAGCACCCAAAACAGCCAGCAAAATCAACTCACTGATGAGGCAATCTGGAATATATTAATATTCTTAAAATTTTATTGAGAATACTTTACTGAACTGGCTTGTATAGTTTTCATCTCTGTGCACTATTATGCTATGGATCCTCTAAAGCGGTTTTGCTTCCTTATCTCAAACAACTAGGACAAAGTTTGGTACATTTTAAACATTTAACCACATTATTTTTATTCAGTGATTGTAAGAATAACTACAATTGGAAACACATTATGCACTCCATTATCTCTTGCTTGAGAGAGAAAGCAGGAATGATAAACATGGAGGAGGTATATCATTTTGGGTGGATCCATGGTACATTATATTCTCAAATGGACTTGCAATGTCACAGAGTGTGCATTAGAGAAACTATGTTCTGTCTGGCCTGACTCATTAGGAAAACACAAATTTGACAGGGCTGTATTTAACCAAGCCGTCCTGACTCCCATACCTCAGAGGAGATTATCTGTCTTCCTCAGCAGATGTATAAACTCCTTCTCACTGCTTGCTGGACTTGCTTCCACTCTTCCTTTGACAGTTTCCACTGACAGGTAGAGAGACCTCCCTGTTTCCTAAATCATTATCACTGTAACTCCTTAAAATGGTGTCATAGCATGTAGCCCAAGTCACATAGTTCAACTGATTCCAATCATTCACTAGTGACCTAGACATTTTGTCTAACAAAGACAGATCAGTTGCCTCAGTTCTTTTTGTAAGTTCTCAGGCAACTATGAAGCCTGCTGGGCTGTTATATGACAGGAAATGCACAGGAGGACTGCAAACTGTAGATGTCAATAAAATCCAGATTTCCTTCAGCTTCATTCGTTATGGCCAAGGTAGATGTGACAGGAATCAGGAGCAAGTATCGTGGTATTCCTAGAAGGGCTCAGGGCTCACCAGAGCTTTTATATTTAATCTCAGTATTTAGTGATCTCCACCAAGCTCAGAACTAGAAGTTGGAAAGAATACAGAGCTGGGACTTGAGCCTGTTAGGTTTTAATCTCAGCTCTACAAGCAACCATGATGTGTAAACATGTCAAGGTACTTTAGGATTCTAGGTCTCAGTTTATGACTCTGTAAATCAACAGACTTCTAGCTTCTTATGGTATTGAAATTATAAGAACCCTGTGACACGTATTTTACAGGATTCTAAATTATTCTGTCTCTTTAGCTACAGCCGCCATGCCATAGGAAGAATGAGTCAGTCACGAGGACATTTTGCCAGTTCCCTCACAGCCTTCCACTTCCTGTTGACTTTGGACAAAGGAACAGTTTTCCTTAGTTTTGTGGAAACCTTTTGACCTAGATACAGCTCTAAGGACAATGACCTAGATACTGCCTTAAGGACAATGACGTGGTTTTCCACATGGCTGTGGAATGTCACTTGTCTCCTCCCACATGTCCCAAAGTGTTAGTTCTGTAAACTCAGAGTCACCCTCAGACATTTAAATTCCTTTTAAATTGGAAGATATTTTTCTTGTGGACATAAAACACTCACGTGCTCTTCAATTATAAGGAGTAAATTCCTCCCTGATGACCTGGCTTGACTGTCTCAAACTTGTAACTGTTCCTCTTGTTCAACTTTCATTCCTCAGTCAATGGTCACAGCTGCCTTCAGGATGCACCCCGTTTAGCACAGAAAAGGGGAAAGAAACTAACACACCCAGAGTGTCTCTACCCTGTGCCTAAGGATACTACACCACAGAAAAAGAAGAGGCCTCTTAAGTCTCAATTCCACGCCCATTGCTGTGAGGGTACTGACTGAGTATGTTACTCTTGGCTGAGAAGCTAGCTCCCTTAGAATCACCACAAAGTGATGTCTAATCAGTGGGACTCCTTCTATACAAAAAGGTGCCCTCTGAGCTCAGCCCATGGAGAGAACTGATGGAAAGAAGACCGTAATTTTCAGTCGCACAAGGCCATTCCCTTCCTGACCCAGGATAACACACCATGTTAAAGTAGTGTGCCAAGGCTGTCAATGGGAACTTGGCTAAGTATGATATGGATGGGCTCTGTGCTATCCTGCAAGAAGGTAGCGGTGCCTTTGTGTGTTCAGCTCTTTCCCTCTAACCTGCAGCACACATCTTGACACAGCATTGTGCTTTTTTTGTTGAAAAAGCAACTGAGGCTCAGAGAGTTCCAGAGAACAAGAAAGAAAGTCCAAATCTCTGATTTCCAAATGTATTTCACCAACATAGCATCCAACTTCCAAAGAAAACAAAATAACTGCCCAATTCAAAAGGCTCAGTTTTTATACCAGCAACAGCTGGCTACAGCCTACCCACTAGCAGAGAATAATGGAAAGAAATGACAGCCATCAGCACTGACGCCTCATCCATTCTGTCTTTGAAGTTTATTGTAGTCTAGAGATATATTTCATTGTATTCAGAAAGAGAATACGTTTCTCTTTCTGAATAAGAAATAAGTTTAAAGTTTATAATAAGAATAAGTTTAAGGTTAACCTTTCTTCCCAACATGACCCTGGTGAAATATTCCCTAACACTCCCCTTTTCTGATAGTACGTGGAATGTACTAGGAGGAATTAATCCTAGTCTCCCAAGAATGTGGGAGCACGTTGACTGTCTTCCAGAACCCGCTGGCTTTCTCAGCGATTCATGCATGCATTGAGCTGGCTCACACTGGGTCACTGATCACATTCATCTCTGCTCAACTCTTCATTCCGTGAAGAGGCAGTGGTGGCTTGAAACTGGCCGCCTTGAAGGTAACACAACACGTAAATCAGTAAGTGAGACAACAATCCTCACTCTCATTCTTTCCATTTCTATCCCACCCAGCCACTGGTTAAGCATTTACTTTGCCAGCTCTGACGATTGTTCTTAATCATTGTTATCTAGTGACGACGCCAACAGCACTTTGAGACCAGGCTAGTCTTCTTAGGAATGTGACTCTCTATCCTTTGACACCAAGGCAATTGAAACAGGACAAGTTATAATGTGCAAAATATCCCAGAGTATTGACCTAATGTGAACCACTGTGCTGTAGTTTACAGAATTTTCCAGCTTAAAAGAGATCTTCTTTAAACTCCTTCTAGTATCTTCAGGAAAAATCAGGAATAGTTATTTATTAGATAATATCAGATAAAACAAGAGAAAGGGGCTGGAGAGATGGCTCAGTGGTTAAGAGCACTGACTGCCCTTCCAGAGGACGTGGGTTCAATTCACAGCACCCACATGGCAGCTAACAGTTGTCTGTAATTCCAAGATCTGACACCCTCACATAGATATACATGCAGGCTAGAACACCAATGCACATAAAATAAAGATAAGCAAATTATTTCGGGCCGGGCGGTGGTGGCGCACACCTTTAATCCCAGCACTGGGAAGGCAGAGGCAGGTGGATCTCTGTGAATTCAAGGCCAGCCTGGTCTCCAAAGTGAGTTCCAGGAAAGGCGCAAAGCTACACAGAGAAACCCTGTCTCGAAAAACCAAAAAAAAGAGAGAGAAAATGAGACAGAAGGGAAGATACATTCATCAAGACAGTCTTTTAAAAGTTTGCCTCAAATTTTCCTATTAATCTTGTATAAACTTTCAATGTTGATTTTTGTCATTGTCTAAACAAAACATTGGTCATAGTCTAATATATCAAAAGAATAGTGGACTTTATTAGTTGTCCTGATTAGGGATATGTGGAAAGGGGTTGGCCAAAGCGACAACATCAGCCAGTGTGTAAAACAGTATAACCATCATCTTGGAAAATGGGGTGGCAAAGTCTAATATTTCTCTATAAAAGAACAGTGAAAATCACATCTCCCCACAAAGCACCTTCATTCATTGGCACAAGCTAGAAACTTTGTGGCATTTGTATGTTGGATTTAAAAACTGATAACAAAGCATACATATATTACAAAAAAGTCGTTGAGACGAAACACAAACACTAAGGCAGGTGCAGTGAGACGGACTTCTAATCTCAGCATTTAGGAGGTGGTAGAGTAAGGGGGGGTCAGGTCTTTGTTGATATTCATCCTTTGCTACACAGCCAACTGGAAGTCAGTCTGGCCTACATTAGATCCTGTTCCAAAAGCAATAAATAAATAATAAAAAGAACAAACAAAACATAAAAGTAAAGACTACTTCTCTACAGTCTCAAGCATATGAAATTGAAGAATGGGCAGAACTTATCTATGGACCCAGAAATCAAACGAGCCAGCAGCCCTGTTTTGGCACAGGCTTATGTCTCAAAAGGAGCTTCCAAAGCAAAGAACCCTTTGGAATGATGAAAACTCTTAATTCTTCAGCAATGAGGAGATGGAGGCAGGAGGATAAAAAAAATTCAAGGTATCCTTGACTATATCGTGAGTTTAAAATCAGCCTAAGATCCATGGAACTGTCTAAAAAAATGTATTATTTGAGGTGGTTACTTCTCACAGAATACATTCCATCAGTCCCTACCCTTAAAACTGAGTACAAACTTCTACTGAGTGTAATCCGGTTGGAAAGGATGTATACACACAGATTTCCAATCTCAGAGTCCATAGTGATGAACTGGCTAGGGTAAGAAAAATGAGTCTGCCTTTCCCTCAGCCCTTACGTAAATGGGCTCTAGGATTGAGGTTTCTTGAAGTGAAGGTACAAATTGGTGTTTTGGGCAATCCTCAGTGTGGGTGGGTCATTTGCCTCTGACTAGCCAGTTTCTCGTTATTGACACACAAGCCTTTCTTCGGGCATCCCCCCTGGCTGCAGGCGAAAGTTTGGGAATTCAGTCCAACTTCTCAACTCCCAGGAAATTCCTCTTGGGACACAATGCGCGCTGGGGCGGGATGGGCCACTGCCGCAGGCGTGAATCAGCTACATTTTTTTTATGCTCCGCCCCGTTGGGGGTCCAGGGACGGTCGCCTGCTTAAAAGCCGCTCCCCTGCGAGCGGGCAACTGGCGCTCTCCTCCCTTTGCGCATCCAGGGAGCCGCAGCTCCACCGGGTACTATGGACCCCGCTACACCCATGCGCTTGTGGCTTCTGCTGCTGCTCCTGGTGGGCTCTGCTCGTGGTCTGGCTTCAGCATCCGCCCAAGGTATCGTCCCAGGATCCCTCTTACCCTGGTTCGCCCGCCGCCCAGGGACCCGCTCTTGCTAGGCTGTCCCCAGGTCCCTGCCTCCGCCCAGGGGAAGTCGTACATAGTTAGTGCAGAAACTTCTGCTGGTGAACTTTAGAGCCAGACTTTTCAGTCCCTGTCAGGCACCAAATCTGACCACTCCGGTTGCTTTCCTTCTGATTACAGGGAATAACTTAGAGATCTGCCTCTTGCCTTTGGACCAGGGACCTTGTCGGGCCTTCTTCCGTAGGTTCTACTATGATAGGAACGAACAGACTTGCCGCGATTTCAAGTATGGAGGCTGCCTGGGCAATGCCAACAATTTCCACAGTCAGGAACTCTGTGAATACACTTGCGGGAATATCGAGAGTAAGTGTTCCGGGGTGCGCTGCACTCAGCCAGCATCGGCACCAAGGGGTGGGTCAGAGCTCAGCTGATTTTCCAGGTCTAGTTGAGTCCATTTAACTTCTAGCCTAAAGTTTCCAAAGTGCTAAACAAACTTCGCTGTCTCTGCGCCCCATCCCGCCCTCGTTTGTTATTAGTTCTTTCAGATTTTCAGAAAAAGTGTTGTGATCATTTTCACCTCCTTTCTTCCAGACCCACGCCCTTTTCCACCCAAATTTGTGCCTCTCCCCAACCCCTATGGAGTTTATGCTGTCTATATACTCTGGGATGTGTGACCTTCACTGGGGCTGCACTTTTAAAGAAAACTGACTTTGCCCCAACATCAGCTCCTTAGTTAGGGGTGGGACTTTGTCTACAACCATGAGCAGAGTTCATCTCAGGACCAGATTCCATTTCAACGCAGCGCCTGAGTGAACTTTGGGAAAGGTGAACGAGCCCATCCTCCTAGGCCATCATAAACGCAAGGGGAGGATGTCAGTACTCTTCCGTAGTCATCATTAGCTCCAGAAATATGGCTCTGAGACTGCCGTTTCCTTCACGCAATTACCCATTGATATGGAATACTTTTCTTGGTTCTTACTTTTGAAGTGTGGTTTCACTCATTCTGTAACTTTGCTTTTGTTACCGGATGCTTGGGTTAGTGTAGCGGGATAGCTAAACTTTGTAAGAGTCCATTCTCTTTCACTTTGCCATTTTATAATCATATCTGTTAGGAGTATAGAAATGTGTATTGATGTGAATAAACTTTTACGCAGAAAGCGAACGGAGAACAGTCTTTGTACTGAACTTGAAAGCCACGTCACAGCGGAGTCAGGCCTCCCACACTAACAGCAGCTTACCTTCCGATGAATGGGCAGACTTTAGGAATTTACTATTCCAGTAGGAAATAAGGTCATCATCCCCCCGTAGTTTCAGAAATTATGGTAAAGTTTTTAAAGTACTACTTAAGTTGCTTAGATTTTTATTAGCATCTGATTATTTTCTTAGGTTAGCATATAAAACAGTGGTCTTTCTTAGGCTCACTCATACATACCTGTCATTGTACTTTGTCTCTGGCCCCCAGCACCCTTTGGCACCCTTTCTCATTCTCCGCCCTTTTTTACTGGTCCTTTTTTTTTTTTTTTTTTTTTCACAAAATAGTCACACCTTCAGCTCTCACACCACGTGACCTCTCTACGCTCTGTTTGCCCCTCACCTCTGGCCTTCCTCCCTGCCTCACGTGTTCACTTCTCTACTTTCATCATACATAAACTTCAACCTAGACTCTGCATGTGAGAGGAAATATGTGGTGTTTGTCTTTCTGAGTGTGGCTTGTTTTGTTTTTCATGATGAACTCCAGTTTCACCCATTTCCCTGGAAATATCATGACTTCATCATTATTTTCATCTGAAAAAACATTCCACTGTATATTCAACCACATTTATTTAAAGATTCATCCATTGTTGGACAGCTGGGATGTCTCTGTTCCTTGTTATTTTGAAGAGTACAGGAACAAACATTCATATGCAGATAATTCTGTGGTGTGTACACCCAGGACTCTTTAGATCCACACTTGAGTGTGATAGAGTGGGTGTAATAAAAACTGAACTGCCAATAGCTAGGCAGGAGGTATAGGCTGGACTTCCAGGGACAGAGAGGACTCTGGGAAGGAGAAGTCATCAGTCAGACAGCGAGGAAACAGGAGGTGCAAAGTGAAAGAGAGGTTAGCACCCTGTGACAGAATATAGGTTAATATAATGGGTTCATTTGAGTTATAAGAGTTAGTTGAGACAAGCCTAAGCTAAATGCCAAGCTTTCATAATTAATAAGAAGTCTCCGTGTCATTATTTGGGACTGACGGCAGAAAAGAAAGTCCATTACAGAAGACTTTTTTTTTTTTTTTTTGAGTAACATGTTTTATTACCTCTCCCTTCCCCCAGAAGTTCCTACAGTTTGTCGGTTAGAACTCAAAACCTATCCATGTGATAAGCCCAATGTGCAGTATTTCTTCAATCTGAAGACCATGACATGTGAACCCCTTAAGCCTGGTCTGTGTAGCACGACTATGAACGTATTCCCTGATGAAGATACTTGTAAGGACTTCTGTGAACCAAGGAAACGTGAGTACTTTAATTGTGGTGTTTCTATTTCAAGTTTTTTATTAAGATTTTAAGGGAAAATCAATAATTTGATCTGAAATTAACATGGTTTACATGCTGGGGATTGCACAATTATGTGATTTTGTGTGTGCATCTGTGTGTGCCTGTGTGTTTCTCAGGAATAAAATCTAGACTGTGTTGATGGTCAAAACTACTGTCCTGTAGGAAGCATTATGTCCTTATTTTTCCATGTGTGGGTATAAGCTGAAGGTTAATAACGATGTGCAAAATTCTCAAGGCTGGACCATGACAAAGCCATTAACAAAATGTTGCTACTTTTTCTCTTGGAGAACACCAATTGAACATCTCTAATTAGAAAATCTGAAATGTGAAAAACTTGAAAATCAGAAACTTTTGAGCATTGACCTTTCTTCACAAATGGAAATTTCCATACTTGACCTCAACTGATGAGAGACAGACAAAAAATAGGCCCACTAATATTACATTAAATCATCTTCAAACCCTTCATGGAAAGTGGGTGTGAAACACAATCAACTTCTTATTTAGAACTGCATCCCAACACCCCATCTGCTAGGTATCTCATTATGCACATGCAGATGTTCCAAAAATTGAAAACTCTGAAATATGAAACACTTCTGGTCCCATGTAGTTTTCAGATAAGGGATAGTCATACTGTATTATCTGTATCTTCAATTTATTCATAAAAATTAGAGGAAGAGCTCTAAAGGATAGGAGGGGAGAGACAGGGCTAGAAATAGTGCTTTTTTCTCGAATTTTCATGTATATATCTATGTATGAAAGAGGGAGCTGGGTCCCTTTGAGAGAAGTAAACGGAGTATTAGTGATGGCAGTGGGGAATACAATGGGGGATGTAAGCACAGTGATACATGAAAATGCCATGACGGAACCCATTTTTATACTGACTAAAGAAATTGATTAAAAAAATAGCATACACTAATAAATGCCAAGGCATCAGAAATGTATGGAAGTAGTTTTTTGTTTGAGACAGTGAACTATAGAGGGTTGGGACTTTGGTTAAACATCTGTATGCTTTGGTAATTACAAATTATATCAGAGTTCTTTCCTTCTTTCCCTTCCCCATTTCTTCAGCCATTTTTCCACCAAATGTAACAGAGACACACATATCTTAAACAGTTAAATCCTGAAGTCTCCTTTGGCAGACTTTGATAGACCTCTGTTGGTGTACTGTGCTGAAAATACATCATTAACTAGTGAATGTATATAAATGTTCCAGTGCTTGGTACCAGCCCAAGAAAGTTTGTCAAAGTATGCCATATACTGTCCTTTGAAGGGTAGCCCATTCTTAGCATGTCAAGTTGGAGGCTTAATTTCTTTTTACATTTAAAAGGTAAAAGACACAGCTTCAGAAGGAACTGCCTTAGCTTATAAAATTGAGAAGGACGGACATGGGAGAGAATGTGATGCAAACATAATGCATGTATGTGAATGTCAAATGTTTAGCTTAATCAAAAAACAAAAAACAAAAACAGAATGATCAAAATGAAGCAGGTAACTTCTCTGTGACCTGAGACACACCTTTTTTGGATGGTTGAGTATTTTGGATTCAGAATGAGGCCTGTGTGGCATTTCTTCAGGTACTCCCCTGACCATTACCGTCTCTTAGTTTGGTATGACAGCATTTCTCACTTGTTTTTCTTTTCCATAAAGTTCCATCATTTTGCTCCAGTCCAAAAGATGAAGGCCTGTGCTCTGCCAACGTGACACGATATTATTTTAATTCAAGAAACAAAGCCTGTGAGACCTTTACCTACACTGGCTGTGGTGGGAATGACAATAACTTTTATTACCTGGATGATTGTGACCGTGCTTGCATTAAAGGTAGCAAAACTTTTCCTATTCAGTCATCATGCAAAGATAATGAATAATTCAAAAGGAAAATTGTATTTTCTATATCCATTTTGCTAGTGCCAAATGGCCACTTTTAGACTTAACCCTACAAAAACAGTGCTTGTGTGCTGATTTGGTTTGTCAGAGGTATATACTGGCTAGCTGTGGCAGTCAGTAGTCAGGGTCTCCCAGTTTCAAATAGACCACTAACAACTGAAATCCTGATGAGCTGAACTGACTTTATAATCAGAATAGACGAAATGTGGTGAGATCATGAATATTTTGGAAAAATTAATTTAAAGTGAGCGTCAGACTAAAGCCACATGACGTTAATTGCTATTTTGTTGTCTTTAGCACCAAAGACGTCAAAGAAAAGGAAGACAGGAAGTGGTTTCAGAATCAGAAGAAAGCCCAGACGTTGGAAGCCACGTTTTTAAGCATTTCCTTATACTTGAGAAAGCAAATCATTAGTAATTTACTCATTTGATTTTACTGATATGTTACTTTTTTACCTGTGTATTTTTATTATTCACAACAGGCTGCTTTCCAAATGTGAAACTATAATTTTAAATTTACGGTTCAAATGTGTAAGTGACTGAATCCTTCAGTTATCAGATATGAATGTGAACATGACTCACCCAAATTCTTGGGGTGGTTAGTCCTACTTTCAGAAGACAATGGTTACTAAAATATCATATGACAATTTAATTGTGCAATTTTAATATATATAAGCATCAACAGGAATGGTGGAACCATTTCACTAAGAACTTATAAGTTTGGATTGTAATTTAGGGTCCTGGAGACAAGTTGCTGATTTATGAACACGTTAAACAATCATCCCAATGGTATTACTTATACCTTGCCAAGTGTACTTCCATTCCTGTCTTGTCAGATTGCAATATGATTAGGAGGGGCAGTTATTTCAAAGTTACAATTATTATTGGATGAATTTTAAATGTGGGTGAATTTATGAAAACAAAAACATTTTCCTAGAAAAATTATTACAGATATAATTCTACGTCTCTGTATTTTTCCATATCTGACAAGCTAGCTATCTTCTTTGACAATATGTGTTGCATTATTTCCTCAGACAAAATGTTTTGGAGAACAATGACATTACTAGATCTTTTGTACATGTAAGATGCATCCTGCATCAAATGCATGTATGATTTGGTAACTTGAATTTCAGAAATAAATTATTTTTAAAAGTGGTTATTACAAGAAGGTAGTGTTTTTCTTTCCTAGTAAAAGGAAAATTAAGGCCGGGCGGTGGTGGCGCACGCCTTTAATCCCAGCACTCGGGAGGCAGAGGCAGGCGGATCTTTGTGAGTTCGAGGCCAGCCTGGG